GGATATTCAATAGAGCAATGATCATCCCACCACCCTCCATCACCTCCAAAGCACACACAGAACTGATTAGCTGAGCCAAAGTCTGGTTCATCGTCATTATAGTTGTCCCAGTTCTTATATTGAGCTCCACTCCCTCTGTAGCCGTCTGACCACCTCCAGTCGATTTTACTGTACATGCCGATCCAGACATCAGAGTTGTGACCAGCAGATGAAACTGTGTTGATAAGTTTGTTCATTTCTTCAGTGTTTTCAATTGTGGCCAGGTCCGTGTATGTATCTCTGCAGTAGCTCTGAGCTTCGGTCCAGTTCATAGGATCAACAACAAAGTGGTACTGATGGAGAAGACATGAGGAGAAGATGTTCCAGCCTGTAAGTGGAACAAGTGCTTCACTTGTTAATTTTGTATCCACAGTCTGAGTCTGTCTATTAACATTGCAGATTGCTTCAATTTCTCAATGGTCTTATTGAATCTTGATCATCTTTATGACTCTAAAAATGTCTTTAAAAATGTTTAATTTAACAAATTACAGATAGGATGAGACCTTATAGTAGCTGACTGATTGTGGGCAGGTCACTGTATGGTTTAAGCACAATTTATCTCCCTAAATTGATTGAGGCTGAATTTCTGCCAGATCTGTTGTCATTTAGAAGTCTACGGGACTGAGAAGTGGGATGGGGTAGTAGTAACTCTTTCCTGTGTTGTGGTGTGGTGGTCTGTTGCCAAAGATGTTGATCAAGGAGAAAAAAAGACTACAATGTTAGAAAGTAACTAACAACATGTAGGTACTATGTACCATTTTGAGATACTCCAACCATATTCTGCTAGTCTGTAATTATTATACCTTTTTTTACTTTTGATACTTGAAGTGCTTTTCATTGACGATACTTCTGTACTTGTAATAAAATATTTCTACATGGATTTGTGAAGACAACACCTGAGAGAAATGTATTATCTTAGTAGTAGCGTATTATACAGTAACAAGCAGTAAGATATCAAAATGATTGAAGAATTAACTGACCTGAGAGATACAAGACACCCACAAAGATCCTGTCCATCATCATGCTGCTCTGTAGACTGTAGTGTTGTGTGTCAGTGTACAGCAGTAAAAGAAAATTACACTGATATTCCCTAATACTCTCTAACTTCATTAAGCAAATCTATGGAAAGTCAACATCAGTTTGTCTTCTCTCTGTTTCAGTCTTTATGTAAAACACATTGTGATGGATGACTTCATGAAAATGTCGATTTGGGTAATGAGCAATGGTTGATTTGTAAATTTTTTAACATGGAGTTGTCCTTAACCAAAACCTATATTAAAAAGTCTCTGAAGTCATGTCTCCCCTAAAATAGTTTGTTTTGTTACAGAGGTGGCTTGGTCTCATGGTGTATCTTCAGCAGCACAGATGCTACTGAATGACTGTAGAAATATTATAGGAAGACTACAGAAAGCAGTGTGTCTCTATGATTCTTTCACTCCTCCCAGACTACACTTTTCTACTTGTCACTTTGATCATAAAGGTGACACTACTCTAGGTTACAATGTAGTATGGAATTGAGTCTTTAGTGTATTGTTAAGAGAATAATGTGCAAGACCAACTGTCTGTCCTGGGTGTATGAACGGATTACAGTCTCAGGGTGGATTTTGGAGTCAGAATATCAGCTTTCACAGCAGGGTTGTTCAGATCCACAGAGGAGTCCTCTATCTTTAGCTTTACTACCTGCCTCATTACTGGTGCTTAGACACAGAATGAGGAGAGAAACCAAGCATGAGTTACCACCAAATATTTCTTCAATTAGTAGTAGTATTATTAAGTTAAAGTTGTTAATGCAGTCTTGTGTACATCACTTTAATGTTGTAGCCAGGGGTTAATTTAAATGAATTTATAAACAGCTTTGGAACTTTCTTCTTGAGACCAAGAAGTAAAAAAAATTTCTTTACCAATCGCTTCGAATTTAAATTTGTAAAATGTATCATTATGTATGTATGTATCAAATGTATCATTATATACATACTATAATATGTAATATATATATAGTGTGGGAGTAAGGAGAAGATGATATGCACTCATGCAAATATATTGTATTTGTTATGCAAAGGTAGAGGGCAGATAATGTGATGGCATCCATCTCTGCTTCACAAACAAAAACCAAGTGCATACTGAAATTCGATACAGGGCGAGAAACCAAAGAAATAAAGACTAAGGTTCATGACATTTGAAAACAATCCTTAATTTAGTTACACGCACTGAATGAAGACAACTTTCATTCAGGTGCCAGATGATTTTGACATAAACTGTAAACATCTAAAGAACAATCTTAGATGAAGACAGGCTTTGTTACTGTCTACTGTAATTACTTTTGTACATTTAGACTGGGGTTATTTGCCTCTATGCATATATATGAACACCAATACATAATTTTATATACAGTCTCCACATTATATATTTCTGACAAGAAGCCACACGAACAGATGTCTGGACAGCAGAAGATTGACAGGGATGGACATGATGTAAAAAAAAGAAAAGAAAAAAAAGGGAACTCTTACAGAGAAATGTGGGATAGCAATTATAAAATGCTGTAATTGTCATTTATTTCCTCTATTGCTCCTATTTGCTATATTTACCATATATGTATGTATATAAGCAGTAAGGGCCGTGTTGCACTTTAATTCCCACACACAGGTACTGAAAGAGCTCAACTTATGTGCAGTCTGAAGTATGTGCTTACGCTTCATCATTTACTATGATCCCACCTGTTGGTATTCTCAGTCCTGTATGAAGGTTTAGTTTGTTAAATGTGTAAATATGATTTTATCAGACTGTTTCACAAACTGTGAACTTAAAGCCAAAGTCATACCTCATGTACATGTTTTATTTTGAAGAAATACAGTTTCATTGACACACTTCACACAGTAATATTGATAATGGGGGGGATAGAACTCTTCTATGACAGTCTACAGG